ATAAGTTGTTTCCATGTAAAACCAAAGTAATCATTTTACCTTCTGTAAGGGTTAACTTGGTATAATGGCTTTTTTTTTTTTTTTAAGAAGCTGATGTACGGTAAGTAAAATTACTCTTTTTATCAACTTCACGCTAAACTGCCTATGAAGGATGTACTGGAGAAAATTGCTGCATTGTTAGAGACCCTTTTCTTGGGGTAAGAGAAAAGCGGATGTCTGTAGTGATTTGTATGTTTGAAACTGGGAAAAAAAATCAACCAATGCTGTGGCAATGTCGCAGGGTACCCCTGCTGCCAACAGTAAATGCTTCCTCCTGGCACTTCCTCAGATACTACCTACTTAAATGGGTTTACTTCAAATTAAATTTAAACCTAGTGCTGTCACAGTGCTTTGCTTTTGTTTTAAAAGGCAGTAAATTCTCATCACCTGGTTCACAGCAGATCCTGGCCTTGTTGGTACACCAAATTATTGGAAGTTTCAAAGTTCCCGCAACCACAAGGGGGCAGTGTACAGAGTTCAGCAGCAAAAGTGAAATGAAATCGTAATGTTTTTACTTCCCCAAAAGCTTCTGTGCAAGGTAATTAAATTCCTGGGGAAAGGGGGAGTTGCAGGGGATGTTAGGGATACAAACAAGGAATAACTTCACCTCAAAGCTCAGTATTAGGAGCCTGGTCAGGATGACAGATTAAGATAGAAAGTAAGTCAGTTACTTAAGGGTACAACTTGGCATTGCTGTGATACAAGTCCCAGACCAATTTTATGCTTACCTGCAATGTTGGATACGTTTTAGCTTCTGACTTTACTAAGTGGTGGAAATGCTTCATCTGCAGAAGGAACTCAGAAGGAACTTTTTGGGGTATGCTTCTCAAGCTGTTCATTAGCAGAATGCTGCTCTGTGATAATTAGACTGTAATCATGCAGTTGATAGCTTCTTAGTCACTGTTCAATTCTAATATAAATAACCAGACATGCAGAGGTGAGGTTGTACACTAATCTGCCTTGTCAGTATTTTGAAGTAGAAAACTGACTTTTAAGTTGAACTTAAGACAGTAGTGAGCTGTTAGGAGGTCAAAAGTTAATCCCTAGTATAAATGATTCCAGGTAGAATATTTACTTCAAAGATCAAATAGCTGTCGTGGGGTTTTAGGACTGGACTTAGCTGACTTAGCCAGGAGAAGTTCTGTGGAGGGAAGAGTATCAAATTTAATCTGAAAAAATAGTTCGAGAGAAGTTGACCCTGTTTCTTTCTCTCCCACTACTGGATGTGGAATAGCCCCTGATTGTGTGAGGAGTTTCAGCATAGGAGGATCCCCTTGCTGGATGCATGAAGCTTGAGCAGAGAGATACCTTTCATCTTTCCTTCCGACAGCTGTATCATCGGGTGGATCACAAGTGTTCCCAGTAAGTTGTCTATTTCTGCTGTTTTGGTAGTGGAATGGGCTGGTTTCACTATTTTAAGATAACTTGTGGGTTGTGTAGTTAAGCTACCAAGCAACGTAAAAGGATGTCAAGCAAAACTGAATGGCAGCTAAGGTAACTTGGTCCTGAGCAAGAGACCCTGACTGCTTCTCTCTAACAAGATCTGCTTTCACACAATTTCAAAACCCGCCTAAAAACTGCGAATGTGCCAGGAAGAAAGAGGGGGGTGCCTTTTTCTAACTGACAGTGAAGAAATCTGTATGTGTTTGTTAACAACTATCATACAGTTTATTGCATAACTTACTGAATTGCTTCAGCTGTTTTAAAATTAAGAATGTCTTCATATTAATACTTGCAGACTCTTTGCCACTTTTAACTATAAATGTTTCCTCAACTCTGCATGTCACCAAATTACTGGCAGGAACGCTGGTCACAATGCTGGAAACAATTACAGAAGTCATGCATCTGGATCAAATAGACTTTATGAAAGGAAACTTAGTAGCAGAAAATGTGTAAAGTTTACAAACTCCTAGTAGTAGCAAGTTTTAGCTACTGCCAGAGTGAAACTTGGAAGGCACACGCTTCATTGAAAGAGTTAACCTTGCTTCAGTACCTACAGAATAGTGACTGGAAACTTAATTTCCATAAAGCAATTCCATTCTTACTTGTAAATCCTGCAAAATTGGGTTCCTGTATTTATTCTGCTTCTTTGGTGTGCTCCAAAGGTAAGGAGAACTCCATGTATGACAGTTTTAATAGCTTGAAGAAAATACCTTTGATAGACTTCTAAGTGTCTATAAAACAATGGTAATTACTATTATCCAAAAATGAGAGATGTGGGAAACTCTAGATGCAGTCTGTTGGTAAATCCATTACAGAAACTTTGCAGTTTGACTGGAAAAGCATATGGTCTGGAGTCTGTATTGGCAATACTAGATCACAGTAGAAAGAATGTCATTCTTTGGTAGTTTTTAACATTAAATGTTGTCCCATCTTGCGAATTTTTATTTCTTTTAAGTACATAAGAATAAACTGGCTATAAACTAATATACATTCTATTCTGATCATCAATTATTTTGTGAATTATTGTTAAAAGCTCCCTTGGTTGGGCTGCTGCTGCTGTAACTTGTTCCTTAAGACTTTCAGGGTGGGAAGTAGTAGAAGGGTAATTTTTTTTTATTCAATATTATGCAGTGCCTGTACCCCAGAAATAAAATGACTTCCAGGTTGAGTGTCCGTGCCATTTGGAGTCTCGGGCACTGTGGATTACAAGGAGGTCTTTCCTGCTGTTGCAGTGGACTTCGCATAGGTCCCTTAGTAAAGTAGCAACGTGTTCTCATCCATCACCACAGAAATTAGAGTATTGAGATGGAGAATCTTCTTTCAACAAACATGAAATTGAAACGTAGACCTTCATGAGCTTGGGGCAGGGGAGTGGGGGAACACTCCAATACCATGGACAGCTACAGACTTTGCTAGCCCAGGAACCATGCTTATCTTCTGTGCGTGGAAAGAGGAGCCCATGTAACTCCAGTAGTTGGTTTGACATTGAAATCAAGACCAAAGTCTGAGGGCTTCATGAGCTGCAAGGGTTTTTTTTGTTTGTTTGTTTGTTTTTCAGTGACTGTCTGTTACCAACCAAGTTCTGTGCATGGCTCTCATGGCACAAAGCTTTGAAACCGTTGCCCGAGCAATACTGTGACAGTAAACTTTCGCTCCATCTCTTATGTGCGGTTACTCCCCTACTTACAAACTTCATTTTTTTTTTTTTTCCATAGCTACATGCCCAGTTTGCTTCTTTCTCATTTAAACTGTCACTCTGACACCTTTGGACCCCTTCAGACTATGCAGCTGATACCTGGTGTTCTGCTGCCTTTGACAGTACTGACTTGTAGCGAACAAGGAGTGTGGTAGCCAGCAAAATTAGGCTTCTGTGGTGGAACCAAAGCCTCAGGGTGCAGCTTGGCTGTATCCTAGGCCTGCAGAAGCGTTTCCTTGCTGAGTGTTGTGTTTTCTCCAACTATATCACTTGTTCTTATCGTTTTCATCTTTCAGCTGCTGTTTGTGTGCATTTTGCCCCATGAACATCTTTTAGTATTGTGTAAATACAGAAATACAGACTTCAGTGGTTTGCCCCCTAAGAGAAGTATTTTCCAGATGACTTGATTTGTGCTGAGTCAAATGCTGCCCGTGTTGCTATGCCTGTTTTATGGTTGTGGACTTGTGGGATACCTATTTTTTCCTAGCTATTCAGCTTCAAAACTTTGTTAAATTTTCATATTTCATCCAATTTAGGTCACAGAAACGTTCTCTAGCAGGTTGTTACTGCAGCAGATGCTACTAACACGGTTAGAAGGGGGCTGTCTCAGGTTAATGCTTTCACAGTGGCTCTGGCACTAGCACGTTGCAGATTGCCAGCTGTGCAGATAGAGCAGTGGCCCATTGTCTTCACAGCAATTTGTCAGATGCAGAATTCTGCTCAGAGATACAACTTGTTCCCTAAATTTAATTTGCAAAGATTTGCACTGTGATGTAGTTAATGTAATGCTAGCAACAGGACATCTGTGTGGTTGCAGCCTCCTCTGTACATCAGAGGGAAGGGCAGAAGAAACTTTTGGATGTAAAGATTTGTATATTTGGCTTAATATTTTTCTTGTTCAAATGGTAAATAAAATATTTAAGATATTTCTGTAATAGGAAGTAGATTACAGATCTCTCAGTGACCAGTTAGTGAGTGCTCGTATTCTGTGTGGAGGTTCATCTCTGACTTCCTGTGAAATGAGCTATCATTATCTGGACAAACCCACATCAGGTGGTTCAGTAATGACCCATCTGGCATGACGATGTGGTGCGAGGTCACCTGAGTGATCCTGCAGACTGGCCTACCTGCTGAAACTGCTAGGGGCACCTGGTGATTTCAACAAAGACAGTCTTCTGCCTTAAAAGGATGAGACTGTAAGGTGGTAAAAAGTAAAGGGGACCTGTGGGCAGCAGTTCTGGCAGTTTACCCCCAAATCCTTATGAAACTAATGCTGTCAGATGTACTGGTTATTTACATGGCAAAGTAGGAAAGCAACAACTAGCACCAGCACTGGATTGATCATATTTTATCTCATGCCAAGTGTGATAGGAAAAAATGTACCATGCACCTGCAGTCTTGTAGCATCCTCTTGGTCTGTTCCTGGGAATGGTCTGGGCATGTGAAGGAACCAAAGGAATGTTCTTAAAAACAATTCTACTTTAGGACATGCGGAATAGTCAAGTGGAATATGAAATGAAGCAACACAGTTTGAGGAAAAAATAATACTATGTTTGAACAATAAGAAAAACATTTATTTGCAAAACAAATATATAAAATACAATCCTACTGTAACAAGACCAATATGCAAAATTGCCCCCATATGGAAATAAAGCCAGCATAACAAAATCCTGCTGCTTTAATCTTCACTATTTCAGTTCTACAAATCTAAGGCAAACAAACGTAAACTGAACTAATTATTTGAAGAACCATATCTCATATTTTGGAAATTTTATAACTAAATTATTTCTTATTTTAGAATTAAGCATTTTGACTTTTTTTTTTCATCTCACTTTGCAGTACTGCATCTCTTCTGGGAAGGATGTCTTCTTTTGGAAGATTTCAAGACATTTTACTTCTATTTTCAAGTAAGGAATAACCTAATGCTTCTCCAAACCATTTTTTTTTTTTAAAGGAAGGCTTTGTTTTACAGCATCTTAAGTCCCTCTCATGGCAAAGCAAGAATTTTACGGAAAAAATCTGATGCATAAGGGTTGGATAAATATATTACTGCATAGTGTCTGGATAGTTGAGTGGGCAGATCTCAGAAGGCAATGTAGTCAGTACCTCTGTGAAGAGAGGAGCTCTTGCCTGTGTCATTTAGCCTTTTCCTCTACTAAATGGAAATTTCTTTCTCCCATGTTGTCTTTCCTGTTTGGGGGGAATTACCTCTTCCATTCTGGAGTCAGTTTTCTTTTGTAGGATGGGGATCCTCGGTGACATCTGGGCATGTATTACCTTGTTCGGGGGTCAGACCTTCCTCTAGCTGGATGCTGCTTTCCTCGTGGGTGAGGTCGGCACCTTCCTCTGCTGGGGGTTCAGCACCTTCTAGCTTGTAGGGCAGACCTTGTTCTGCTTGGGACTCGGTTTCCTTCTGGAGGAAGGCAACGCATGCGGCCAGGGGTAGGCCGGTCTCAAAGCATTGTATGTCGGTAGCGCTGCTGTACTCATCCACAGGGACCAGGTGTGACCGCTGCCGACTGGTGCCGGTGAGGCAGACGGTCATAGAAAGATCAGCGTGTGCCCAGGCGGTGTAGCTGCAGCCAGTTGCGACGACTGCTAGGGCACAAGCAAGGAGACAGAAGTAGAAGCTGGGGCCAAAGACCACGGAGTGGCCTAAGAGCTGTGGGTGCTGAGCGGTGCGGAGGTTGTGCCTCGTCAACACCCAGAGACCACAGGATGAGACCACTGCGATGGCAGTGAACAGGACAACGAGGCCGTGCAGGAAAGGGGCAGTCATCCTGCTCAGCTTCAGCCCCAGGATGTCGAGCAGCATGGCCCCGCAGCTGCTGAGGAGGGCCAGCAGGTAGCAGAGAGCTGTCAAGCTCATAAAGGCGAGTCCTGCACGGCCCACGAAGTGGCAGTTGGAAGAGGGTTCTATTTGATTAAGGACACAGATAATGCCCAGCACGGAATGGAGCGAGCCCATTCTGACCACAACCCAGCTGGGGTAGGCTGCAGTCGTGCATATTATCCCCAGGGCTAAGCTCTGGACTACAGCTGCCTCCAAGCTGCCCCTTCGCCTTTTGCCTTTCTTGGCGTGCAGGTACAGGGGACACATCGCCACTTCCGTGGAGCGGGGCAGCGGCTCAGAAGAGGGGAGCATGGCCACGTCCTGGCCCCCAGCACTGGGCCTGTGGGCGGCCCTGCCTTAGCCGGTCTGGGTGGTAGAGCAGGCAAGAACTCCAGGAAAAGCACGGTGCTGAAAAAGAGAGAAAAGCAGTTAGTCCTGCTGAGAGCAAGTGCTGTGCCTTGAGAGAAAACCCTCGTGATATATGCCCAGGGATGCTGTAAGCCCGGGCCCTGTATCAGGCATACTCAGAAGCAACTGGAGCTGCCAGGTAACACATCAAATCGCACATGATATTCGTATTAAGTCATCCAAATTAGCAGAGTGTCACTAAAATATTTGTGTATTTTGTTCCCCTTTGTCTCCGAGAGGGGAATAAAAGCGGTATATTTTTAATCCTTCCCCATTTGCTGTTGGAATGAAAATAAGAGCAACCTACCTTCTGTGGGGACTGCGTGGAAAGCCAGAGTAGGCAAAGGCATTACCACAAGGAACATGTATTAAAAACTAATTAGATTCAGGTAGCAGAAATAATCACCAGCCAAGAGTTTTTGTAATAAACCCCATGAAGCAATATGAAAACTTGAAAATGTATACTTTCTTAGAGCCTTTTTCCTTTCGAGCTGGTTGCACGTGGATGACAGCCTTTATACTTCCACAAGTAGTGACAGAAAGCGCTACAGTGACAGAAAGCACTACTCAAGGTGAAAATAGTGAATAATTCTACATGATAGGATACAAAGAAGTTAACTGTTGGATATTGGATACTGAAGTGGTGTAACTAACATCAGAATGAATTTAAGGCTTGTATTATCATAATGAATTTCCCTCCACAAAGACTAATTACAGCTAAACGTAGGATTATAAACTGCATGCCTATCTGCTAAAGCATGATGGTTAATTCATTATAGTATGATATTTCTATTATTCCAAACACAATTCCAGATGTTTCCCAGATATTTATGTAAGGTCCTCTAAATGCCAGTTTTAAGACAGATGTTTGGGTAACTTTTGAATAATGACGTAGTATGATTTACATTACAACGTTAAAGGGATTCCTTTTCAGATGCTCTTTAGAAGTCACACCTGAGAACACCTTTACCATTTTGGTTTAGTGTAGTCCAATGGATTGTGAATAAGCATGGAATATTCTGGAGTATGAAAAGTCTACACATTGGGTACTTTAATTGATTTACCAGTGTAACAGATGGCAGGCAGTAAAACACTGTCAGTACCAGTAATCCTAATCCTTTCACTTTCTACTGCAATCTCTGGTTTTGCTCAAGGAGAAGACAAAGTACAGTCTTCATTATGACTGCCCATTTTGGCAGTCTTTAAAGGGACCACAGTGGCAGTTTTGCTTCACTTAAAGTACCTTCACTGCCTTTAGGAGCTAAGGTAGGTAAACAAGCCTAACATTAAACTGAACCTTAATACTTACCTCCTTTTTTTATTATTATTTGTTTATTTTGTATTTCTCTGATTAGTACTTGCCAAAGGTCTGTTCCTGGCCTCCCTGAAGCAGATGTCGGAGGACTTCTCTCTCTTTTTCCAGCTTCAGGGTGAATTTATCCCATACTGCTGAAGACAAAGGGGTGTGGTAAAGCACCGATTGCAACACTGACACAAAGGCTGTGGACAAGGAAAGCAGGGGCTGGATGCCGAGCTGTTTCCCTTTTCATTAATGCCTCGGCTTTCATCACTGCTGATGATGACCTCAGGTGTGTTGTGCCTGCTTAGCCCCCCTCCTGCTTCTTGCCCTACACAGTTTCTTCCCCTCAACCTTGAAAATTCAGTCACGTATATAGTGTATGTATATATGTATGTATATATTTTAACTCCAGATGACTTCTTAATCACAAATTACCATTTTTAGATGACTTCTTAATCACGAATTACCTCCGGTTTGCACCTTGCACCCAGCCCCAAACCCTCTGAGGCGCCGCCCCAGCCGGCAGGGGAGCCGAGTCCCCGTCAGCCGCCCCGGCGCCCGCTCCCTCTCTGCCCAGAGCCCCCCACACGGGGCGGGGGGGGACCACTGGGGACCGTTAGGGACCGTTACCGGCCGTTAGGGGCCGTTCCCGCCCGTTGCCATTCGAACGGCGCAGCCCGGAGCCGTTGGGCGCCGCCGCCCGGGCGCATGCGCGGCTCGGGGCGCTGAGGGGAGCGGCGGGGCCGGGCCGGCGGCGGTGAGCGGAGGGGACCGGGGGGGCTCTGAGGGGAACCTGAGGGGACTCTGAAGGGACTGGGGGCTCTGAGGGGGGCGGAGGAGCCGGGCAGGGCAGCGAGGAGGGCTTCGTGTGGTAACCGAGGGGAGTAACGTAAAGGAGGGGGCTCGGCGGGTGCGACCCCTCCCCGCTTCACCCCTCAGGGAGGAGAAGGGCGGGCTGAGCCCCTGTGTGGGGACGGGGCTGTGACGGGGCGCGGGGTGCTCGTGGCGTGAGGGGGCGGGAGGGAGGTGCCGAGCCCGGGGCCGCTGGGGCCGGGCCCGTGGTCAGGCAGCGGAGCCGGGAGCTGCTCGGGGGGCGCCGCCTGCGGGTGCTGGAGCTGCGACCCGGCCTCTGTGTCCCAGGGTGAGTTCTGTCAGCCTCTACTGTGACAGCAGCCTGGAAGTGGGGGACGCTGGCCGTGTGTCGCTTCACTTCTTACTTGGGTTCTTGTGCTGGTGGTACAGGACGTCACGGTCCCCGGTCCCCTACAGCTCGGGGGTTTATGGGGCTGGTTTGGCTGAGCTGTGAGGCCCCAGGTCCCTTCCCGGTCCCTTCCCCTCCCTGGCAGAGTGCAGGGAGCCCAGCAGCACCCAGCTCTGCCCCAGGTTCTCCTGTAACACCTCCAGGGCTTGGCTCGGCTGTAACCTGCTGCCAAACTCATCTTTTAAAACCCTCCGGAGCCAAACGGGGTCTGTCAGCTTGTCACAGCTGCCTTTTATTGTAAAGCGATTGCTTATTTGTCCACCTAACCGCTGGAGAGGCTGGGTTCCAGATAGAGCTGTTTCTAAACAATGGCTTGCATAATTAACGAGATGAAGGCTGTCTGGCTCTCTAGGTCAGGAATGCAGAGCTGTCAGTGGACGCGCTCTGTTACTTTGGCCTGCTTAAATGAAAGCTGTGCTGGGAAAGAAAAAAAAAATTAAGTCTGTTCAAAGAACATCAGACTAGTTAATTTTTGAAATGTAGCTGTAGCAGGTATGCTGCATTCCATGCTTTCATCTCATCTATAGTATCATTCATTAGAAGAGGATAAAATGCCACGAAGCAGGCCTTCTGTTAGGGGATTTCTGAAACCTGGCGTGTTACTGGCACTCTTTGAGTTTTTGTAATGTCTTCCAGTTTGTGATTTGCTTACACTGAATGACTCTCCTAGTATAAATGCCTACGTACACGTGTGTATTTGCTACCAGAGTTGTTTGGAGTGTTTAAAGAAAATACCTGCTTGGTACAGAAAAGTGTTTATGAGCTTCCTGCCTTCTCTTTCTTTCACTGGGAAACTTTTCTTCCTCATTCTTTGCTTAGCTCTGGTGTTAGGTCATCCTTATCTTTTTTCCTTGGCATTCCCAGCAGCTCCGTATCTGATAACCATCTACTAACTCATTTCCCTGTTGTTCACATGCAGGCTATTTTCTCCACCCTGCTGCCAGTGATTTAGGCACTTCTACCTTCTGCCTCCCCAGTACAGCTGCCGAGTAATCATCTGGAACAAACGGAAACAATACAGGGCACCCACAGTGAGGATCACTGCTGGCAATCAGGGTAATGGTTTTAAACTTCTGAATAACCGGGCAGGAGAAGCCCGGCCTCTGCCTGGCCACAGGTGTTGGGGACAGCAGCGCTGCACAGCACGGCAGCTCCCACCCGGGCGGCCTGGAAGGGGAGGAAGGGGGCCTGAAGGGCAGCGGAGCCGCGCAGGCCTCGGGGCTGGCCTGACTTGGACTCGCTCCTGCCTCAGCTCTAGCAGCCGTGCTGCGATGCGTGCCTCCGTTAGGGCCGTGCTGCCCCGCCAGCAGCTGCTTGCTTTTCAGAGCCTGGAGGTGGTTTGTGAGAGTGCTAAGGAAAGCCTGAAATTGGCTCCTTCACTTCTCTGGTAGCAGGCAGGTACTTTGTAATTAAAACCATTTTTTGAAGATTAATTTTATCTTGCCCTTTATGTAGATCAAATAATGTAGACGTTACGTTTGTAAAGAAAATTTCCCTCCTGTAACAGTTTGTTTGAAGGAAACTTACAGCCCTAGATTTAAGTGGGGGAAGAAGTGGCATTAGACATAGAGGGTTTTTTTAAGTTGTGTTAATTACACATCTATGGAAGAAACTAAGGAATGAGGGTACTTGCTAAGGATTCTTTTTTTTTTTTCTAACCATGAGCAAAACCTAAAAAGTTAGTTAAGTTGAAGTAACTGTCCTAAGATTCACAATGACTCTATCAATATATACATTTAAATATATTTCCTACTGTAATTAATAATAATAAAAAAAGCTTATGTAGCCAGTACTGTTAGATTAGTTGCTTTTTCTGGCTTTTTAAGGCAGAAGTTGGAAATATGTGAGTAGACAGTGTTCACCTATGTGAAGATCATTAGCTTAGCTCTTTAAACAATCAATCACTTAGTTTTTTTTTCATCTTTTTTCCCCTTGGCAATGAAAATGCCAGTGTAGGTTAGGCTACTGGTTATTAAATTTCACATTGAGGCCTTTAGGTTAATAAGACAATTTTAAAGGATTGTAAAAAGAGTTTAAATGGTTTTCTCTTTTTCTTCTGTAGGACATGCATCACTTTGAGGAAGAGTTAACGTGCTCCATCTGCTACAGCCTGTTTTCAGATCCCCGTGTTCTGCCTTGTTCCCATACATTCTGTAGAAATTGTCTGGAGGGTGTCCTTGATCTGTCAGGCAACTTTTCCATTTGGAGACCCCTGAGAATTCTTCTGAAGTGCCCAAACTGTAGGAGCGTTGTTGAGATTCCTGACTCTGGCACTGAATCGCTGCCGATCAACTTTGCACTGAAAGCTATTATTGAGAAATACCGTCAGGAAGATCACTCTGATGTTGCAACTTGCAGTGAGCATTATAGGCAGCCGCTGAACGTTTACTGCCTTTTGGATAAAAAAATGGTGTGTGGGCATTGCCTTACAATAGGAAAACACAACGGGCATCCCATAGACGACCTTTACAGTGCCTACCTAAAAGAGAAGCAGTCTTCTGGAAAAATTCTCGAGCAGCTGACTGATAAACACTGGGCTGATGTATATTTGCTCATTGAAAAGCTGAAAGAACAGAAATCCCAGTGTGAAAGCGTCATTCAAGATGATAAAAAAGTAGTGGTTCTGTACTTTAAGAAACTTAGCGAGACATTGGAGAATAAAAAACAAGCTCTGCTCTCTGCACTGGATGAAATCAACAGGCAGGTTTTGGAAGAATATGATCCTCTCATTGAGAATTTAAAAAAAATGAGGGAAGAACAGCTTGAATTAATGTCACTGAACACATCTATTCAGAAAGAAGAGTCCCCACTTGTTTTTCTTGAGAAGGTGGATGGGGTGTACCAACGGCTAAAAGCTTTGAAAGAGAAGCAGCTGCCGGATGTTAAACCTGTCGAGATCTACCCCAGGGTTGGGCACCTGTTGAAGGATGTGTGGTCCAACACCGAAATTGGTCAGATCAACAAGATCCTTACTCCAAAGATAAAACTGATTCCAAAAAGGAAATTACAGATCAAAAGCAAGCAAAAAGAAAGAGGAAAATCTGAAGAACTCCCCCCAGCTGTAAATTCTCTAGCAGTCATTCTTCTTTTTGTAATAGCAGCGATAGCTCTGTTTGCATTTTCCAAACTGGTGTCATCATTTGGAATTGAAACTGTTCCCACTTACATTTCAGAATTCTTGCACTCTATTTATCAAGGTTTTTGTGCTCATTTGCAGACTATAGTGGATGCACTGTGCCATAAATTTAATCTTACGGTGAAGTTTTTAGGGATGATTGTTCCTCTTTGGCTATTTCAATGATTGAATTAGAACTTACTGCAGGAATCCCCAAGATTTATTTTTAATTGAAGTTTCTACTTAATAGCCGGGTCGTTAAAACTCTACGCTTTTTATTTCTTTTCCATGTTCTTCCTTTTTCTTTATAAGTTTTTCATTGAACATGTCTTTTTGGTTATAAATCTTCTCATTTAACTAAGAGTTAATCTGCTCACACAGCAAGTAGGTAGGTGGTTGGTAAAACTGGAAGCTAGGCAGAAGCAATGTCTGCGTAAGAAAGCTATAGGCAGCCACCTGATTGTAAAAACTCAAAACCTCTACATTTTTTAGTGGTAACATAATCTAATTATGTTTTTAATAAATACACTGCAACATTGAAAGTTTAAAAAAAGCACCTCAGGCTGCAAAGTGGCTGGTCCTAGACAGGTCAGTCGGTTACTAGCTCTGGCATACGTAAAGCTTGCATTTAGTGTTTTATTGACCTCTTTCTAACGGTAATTTAACTGACATACCTGATTCTCTAAATCATATAGTAATGGACCTCATTTTGGATGTTGCTGGTTACTAGTGACATGATTTCATCCTTTTTTATAATCTGTTGTTTTTTTAATCTCTTTTGAATTGTTATCTCCAGTTTACAGAGCAGTAGCAGCAGTACTCGTGGTAACGTATTGCATGCAGAGTTTAGTGCCAGCTACGCACAGATCAGGTATTTATTTAGTCTAACGGGGAATTTGCACCACTTCCTAGAACGAGCCTTGAGTTGTTGCTGAAAGAATATGCAGTGAAAATAGATACATATTGCAGTAAGTAGCAAAACTCCCTTTGAAATTGGTGGTACAAGGATTTCAAATGTCAAGAGCCCTTAAACAACTTGAAAATGAGTAAATTTTCAGGCTTTCAGCACAAATAATGGAGGTCTTTACCTTGACCTAGAAGAAAAAATGACAGCATTTTGTTCTGCAATCAAATAATCACTACCACGCTTTTCTTCGTTTGAAGAGGTACGAAGCTGTGCTCAGTAGACAAATTCACAATGGCAGCAGCCCTTGACCTTCAGTTATTACTGAGTCAGCTGTGATCAAGCAGCCTTTAAGCGCTGCCGTTAGAACAGCAGAACACAGAAGTTTACAGTGAACTAATGATTTTATAAAAACCAAAAATGGGCTCTTTATATGCCTAATTTTGACTTCATAAACATAACAGTATATTTTAGCATAGCAGCATTCCTTGGGTGCTTTATTTATTATTATTTAAAAACATATGAGTTGTTTAAATAGTGATTAGTTCTGGGAGTGGCCTCTTGCTACGTGACATGTTAAAACCCGTGCGCAAACCCAGACTTGCACGTTGCATCCAGCAGACACTGGTGGGGGCTCCTGCGAAATAGCAGCTGCTGCCACTGCCTGCAGCGAGGTGAGAGCCAGTTCAGGTGCCTGACGTGGTGCTGGTGTGTTTCTTAAGCCTAAACGAAGTCTGAAGAATATTGATGTCCTCCTGTTGCTGCATTGCTAAAGCATGAAGCGTAACCGAAGGGCTATTGTGCAGCACCCTTCTCTGCAGCTTGCGGTTTCTGTTGTGTGGATCTGACTGAAAGGTGTGACCAAGCAGTGCTCCAGAGGAGTGGGCCTCTGCCCGGTTCTATAATTTCCGCTTCTGTAATTTGGATTTATAGCGTTACAAAGTCAAATCCCAGTGATACCACTGGTCGGATTTTGAAATAGTGCGTAGGTGTATCTGGGACTGGATAAAGTGGCACGTTAATTTCCTGGTGACACTTTGGACTCAGGCTGTTTGTTTTTCCTTGAAGTCCTGCTAGAAGGCTGTCATCTGGAACGTAAGTCTCTGAAATCCTGGTGCTAACTGTATGCCTACCACGAGGCTTATTTTTTGACTTACCTTCCTGTCCTTTATTTTCCTAACTTTTAAAAAAAACCTTATGGAAAGTTTATAATGAAATTTTATTTTTCCAGACAACACGAATTTATAAGATGCTTTTATCACTGATTGAAACATTTAGTACTTGTACTTATGTACCATATATTTTAATAAATTTACATACAAATAAAATGTATTCTTATATTAGGGATGGTTAACACCTTGATTTCTTTGCTGTACAGAGTCTCCCTCTAATCCTAAACAGAGCTGGTGCATGGGGCTGAGCTGGAGCCACGCGACAGGAGCAGCAGCTGTCGTTGGAGCAAGAACAAGGGTATGCGGCGGTGCTGGGTCTGCTTCGTTTTCTTCCACTTGCCCCATTTTTTGTAGTTCAGATGTGGTGAAGGGTCCCTGAAGCAGCAGGCCCTTTAGTTGCTTGATGCAGATTTGGTGTTGTTTTGCGTTGTCCAGCATGGGCCCCTTTCAGTTCTGCCCGATGGGCTGGTGGGGTCACTGTGGCTGGGTGCCAGCTGCCCACCCCTTCTCTAAAGGACGGGGCCAAAATTTGGCAGAGGAGCTCGCGGGCTGGGGTAAGGGCAGGGGCGTCACGCAGCAATTACTGCTGTGGCCAACACCAATTCACCCTGGGGAAGGTTAAGTGACTGCTACTTAATGCAGGAGTAGATAGTGAGAACTGAAAGCAAACTGAAACCATAAATTGAGCCTCGAGCTGTACTTCAAGGTGTTCTAGAGTCAGCTTGAGATGGGGAGAAAAACCTCAGAACTGCACAGTGTGCATGGCTGGTGTTAGGATGGGTAGGAAATGCCTTGTGTTTTTGTCTTCTGCTGTTGTGCACTTCATTGTTGCTGCTCTGTGATTTCACATAGTATTTCACTGGGTGCGCCACTTCCCTGGTCAGGCCCAGGACAACAAAACCCAGGATAACCTAACTCAGGCTTGTTAAGCTTGCTTAGTATGAAAATGGCAAAGAGATGGAAATGTAATCAAGGACTAAGCACAGAAAAAACAAACCATCGTTCTAGAACTGTGCTTAGCAAGCTTTTCTACTGACAGCCATTTTATAAGCACATCAGTGGTTAATTATTAAGGCGATAGCAAATAGTTGGCTAAGCCCTGCTGACTAACTGAAGTGACCTCAAGTAGCACGTAATGTGCAATTGTTTTCTGACCAAAGGAGTTGCTGACACACAGCAGTGAAGAATCTCATCCCAACGCATGAGCCACGTTTAGTTCAGGGATCGGTTATTAGTGAAAAGATGCCAGGTACTGGCCTGACTTGTGGAGTGAAACACAGAGCTCCAGTACTTGAAGTACAAAACAGCTCTGACTCAAAGCACAGCATAAACTGAAGCGCTGACGCCGAGTATGGAAAACTTCCTGTAACAGCTGGGTGAGCAACAGCAGGAGGGTGAGGATTTACACAACCTTGCCTCCGCACTGGGAATCGTTCAGCCCTTTGTGAAATGATGGTAAGAGCAACAGGTGAGTTACTGTAGGGTTAGTAACTGACAGTGCCCAGCATGGCTGCAGCCGGTTTGTTGGGCCAAGGGAAAGCAGGAAGAGTTGTTCTGTGTAACTGCAGGGAGATGAAAATAACTAAAGAGCCTTTGAAGCTGAGTCAATTCACTGCTAAACAGTTACAAGTGGCTAATTCCCAGACCACACAGCTTTACGACAGCAGCTAGAAATCCAAGCAAGTCCTTTCCCTCTTGCATCTTTATACTATAAATATTATTTTATATATGGACTTCACTTACTGAAACTTAAAAAAAGCTTTGATTTTAGATTATATTAATATAATATGATATTAAATATATAAGTATAATACAATGTATGATATTGCATAAGTATGGTCTGACTTTGATGACATTTAAAAACAATTTACTTAGAGTAAAAACAAAAAAACAAAACCAGGCCTTTATAACTTCATGCGTGACCCAAGCATTGACATAAAGCTTGCCCATGGAATATTAGAATGCAGCTAGGTATGTAATTAGAGAAAGGTCTGTTTTTTCTAATCAGTTAATATAATTAAGACCCCCATAGACTGTATAATAACGATAAAGGAATTTATTTAGAGACTGGTTTTATTAACAAGCTCAAATAGAAGCCTTAAAACTAGAGGAAAAAAATCTCAATATACAAAAGTTTATTAGAAAAGACAATGAGCAGCAACAAGAATGTAAATAGACACTGGGAAGTTTTTTGTTCATGCTACATTGGAGCTATATTACGTACAACACTGCGGAGGTTCAGCCAGTCCTTTAGATGCAATGACTTTTGGGTTGGTTGCCACACTTTTTGTGGTATTGTTAGTCTTGTATATTCCAATCAGTCTGTCTGCAATCTCAAACATGTTGTTTCGCAGGGAGATGATGATAAATTGTGCATTTTTTGTTTGCTCCTGAAAAATAAGTTATTTGCATTAGCTCACAGGATTTCGGAAAGCTACATGTTCTTGTATGGTGTCTGTATGCAGGTTTTAGGAGCTGTGGAATTACTTGGTGATAACTACGCTGATCAGTCACAGGATCGTTAACAGATCTACAGCTGATGACTGCTCAGAACCTCACAACATACTCTTAGCTTGCTTGGCTTTCTGACTTAAGCACGAGCTTCCCCTGCTTTCCCCTTTAACATGACCTGTTCAAGTGAGGTCAATTAAATATAAAGTTTTTCAGATGTTCACCACAGTTTTAATGTGAATCCCACCAAGCTTACTGAATGTGGGCCTTACTAACTTACCTGAACAGCTTGAACAAGGGCTGTTTTAGGGACGCAAAGGAAAACAAACCTATCTCCACCTACCCTTTGATAGAGGACAAGCTTTGAAGGCCTGTAGTTCTGGGACACGAAGGCACAAACAAGTAAAACACCTAGATTTGGTAGGTAGCGCTTTAAAAATAAAACCACCATTTTTCTTTAGGAACCCAGGAGTAGCAGTGTGAAATCACAAGTATGACAATTAGGCAGTGTTGAAGCAAAGTTTAACAGTTGCAGATAGCTACTTAAAATCAGGGAAGCACTTCAACGATACTTGCATCATAATCTTTGACACTTCTAGGCTGTCCCCAAAACCAGTCTGCTTTGTAATTGTGATACCACTTTGTATTTATGAGCAGAGAAGAAAAAATCTTTGGAAAAAATAGACTACAGTAGTTAAATACTTACATAGATGTAAAATGCTACAATAGACACGTTTTTGAAGTCAAGTGCTGCATCAATCTCATCCATAAAATAAAGCGGTGTTGGCTTGTAATGATGAAGTGCAAAAACTAGAGCCAGTGAACTTAGAGTCTTCTCTCCTCCTGATAAGTTAAATATCTTCTTCCAACTTTTCTTTGGAGGCCGAACACTGAAAGAAGTTATAGTTTGGACATTATTTCTGTTCACAATCAAAATAAACGCGCTGTATGAAAAGCAAGTCAAGACAGGAGGGAGTTCGTGGAAGACACAGACATCTGAAGAAGCCAGACAAACTGTGGATGAGCTGCTTGATGGTCAGTCCTCCACAACCGGGAGGCAGTGAGCTGTTCACCACAGGTAGCTCTCAGGGTGCTCACACAGCTGGGTGGTCAGAGCTGATGTCTGAACTTGAGCTGTTGTAGCACTCAGCTATTCTCTGGGGGAGGTCTGACACTTAAGAATTGCTTTTTAATTATCTTTCAAAAGTGATATTCTATTATGTAATGAACGTACTCTTAGGACCATTTATGACAGAACAATCCCCACTTACCCATATGACTGACATGATTCCCCAGGCAGAGTTAAATGACTTGGGAATTAACAAATCTGGGAAATTACTTCAAAGTTAAAGCTTTCTAACTGCTGCTAGTTACTTATTTCTCCAAGCAAAACAAATCTCTTCATTTTATAATGCTAAAAAGTTTTGGCTTCTGTCAGCATCTTCCAGTACTTGCTAAGAAGTAAGGCTACCTTGGTTTGCTGATGGCCACAGAAAATTTACTTTAAAGAAAGTCAAAAAAGCAATACAGCAAAAGAATTACAGCACTATCAAGTATTTTGACAAACCTAAACATGATTCCCTCGGAGAAGGGATCCAGACTGTCTACAAGTTCCAATTCAGCATCTCCTCCCAAAGTAAGCATCTGGTAGTTTTCCTTCAGTTTATTTGTTATTACGTTAAATCCTGCCATAAATTCATTTAGCCTTTGTTTCCGAAGATCTTCATAAGCTTGTCTAAATTGGTCTCTCTTGTTGGTTATTTCATCCAATTCAGCCACACGGTTCAAGTATAACTCTTCCTGTAAAAAAAAAAAAAAAAAAAAAAAAAAAGTGCAGTTAAAGAAACTGTCTCTATTTTAGATTTTAAGTTTTTTTTTTCTTTTTAATATCATTTGAAAACTCATTTTCCCCTGAAGGACTAACAACTTTGAAACAAAAAAATAGACAAGAACAAACCCTCCCTTTTTTATTTGTTCACTTCTAAAATGGACTCCTACAGTCATTTAATTAACTTGTAGTCCTCATTAAACAATGAGTGTCTATTTTAGTAGCTCTGTGCTTCAGGTAACCTTATAGCTCATGAACTTTCTGCTCATAAAAACTATGTGTAGCTGGTGTAGATCATCTCTCAAACATTCTGCAGGAACATTAAAATCCTTCTGGCTCTGCTTTTAAAAATAACTTATTTTGTCTTTATATTTATTGCCAGCAACGATAAGGATGTTTACATTTTTGTGAGATGGCTCTAGAGAGCTGATAGAAAATCTTCATTTAAAAAAAATAAAAATCTGTTGAACAGTCCAGCAGCTTGAAGTGAGTATCATAAGAAAAAAGTCTTAGTACAGTCCCTTCAAAACTAGTTGACTCTTACCTAAACAAACTTTCACAGAAGAAAGTTGTCTTCATCTAGCATCTACGGCATCAAATATACAAGATTGTAAGCTCCTAGATGCAACATTCACACGTAGCTAAATATGAGCTAACAACTAGCTGGGATGCTAGCAACAGCACAGCATGCAGAGGAGAAAAAAAAAATCAAGTGCTCCATTTTAGTTTTCAGGTGCAACAGAAGGGAAGTGAAGAACAGGACTGCATTTTCCTTGTATGCTTATACACATTCTCTCACTTAGCTAAGGAGCGTAGTTTTGCACATAAGTCAAGTGCAAGATCCATCTGTGCAGTCACCTGAAGAAAAATGCACATGTACTGCACCAGCAATTACATTAATATCAAGATTTACGTCCTGGAAAACATAAAGCCACGTACAGAGCCTTGCCCTAGCGGAGGGGTGTGCCGTGCTATTGCGCTGACAGGCAGTGCAGTATCAAAAAGGCGAATCCTACCACTACACAACAGTAATTCAGCTTACCTTCTTCTTGTATTCTGCAATAGCACTGAGGTTTGGTTTCATTTCATGACACTGAGCTTCCAGCAGAGCTATCTGATTAGTGATAATATCTGGATCCTTGATAGCTTCAAGCTCTTCTTGACTGAGCACTGGAAGTTCTTCAGGTGGCTTATCTTCTATGGCGTGCAGTGATAATTTTGATATCTAAAATTCAAAAACAGTTTCAAGAAAACTTTAAAGATCACATCAGTTATCGCATGAACACGTTTCAATAACATTTTCTGTATTAGTATATAGTGAACCTTCGAGACATTCCACGTTTCTTCACTTAATTCTCTTTAAGATGCAATAAAGACAAAAAATATCCTTTCACCCTGTTGTTGTGTTCCTGAAAATCATATACATCATTCTTAGAAATGTGATGTTTCTCTGTAATTGCACCAGTAGCAGATAACAAGATCATCTCTCCTAACTCCACAGAACTTTAACAACTGTGTATTTAATACCTTGTGTGTGCAAGATTGAAGTTTCCTCAATTGCCTTTGCTTGCTGTGATAGCTGCCCTAGCTACCCTCAAATGTACAAGGCTACAAAGGGCACTGAAAGATCATCTGCTGGTCTAGATCCTTCTCTATCAGATTTAAATTTGGAGTAGGAAGGAGACACAATACAATAACAATGTATCTTTATGATCTCCAAAATTCCAACTAACACCAATAAATCATGAGCTAATTTTTTTTTTCCCTAAATTATCTGTTTTCTACTACATGGTAACGTATTAGTCTTTTGGGATCTCATAGATCAAGTTCTCTGAACTAAACAATTTCCTTACCTCTTTTTGCCAGTATTTAATCTTTGATTGGTGTGTAGAAATATGACCATTAATCTGTTCAATTTTAAGTTTTATACTGAGAGCTTCCTTCTGAAGTGCATATTCATCCTCTTGAATAGCACCTATCTCCTGGAGTAAACCGCGATGCTCCTCCTGAACTGCTGGCAGTGCTTCCTACAGAAATGACAAAAGAAAGGTATTAATCAGTTGCCTGTAAAGTGTTACCAGTTTCTCAGGTTTGGTTTCACTGTGTTATTCACAGAGCCTACTCTCCACAGTCTTAAGTACTGATGTAACCAAATACACTCTTGTAATTAGGTTGACCTGATCACTGAATTCTGGAACACCACTTGTAAAAATATGCCACAGATTACGCTCTTAATCTAGATCTGGATTAAACAAATCCTTACCTGAAGATCAGACCATTTACTAGGACTGTTTTATTTTTTATTTAAAGATCACCTTTCATTAATGATTATTTTTCAGTAACGATTCATTTTGTAAGAATGCACACAATATATTGTTGGACAGAGAAAATATTCTTTGCTGTTTAAATCCCATATGAATTTTTGGAGAATGAGTAGTAGAGTAACTTAAAAAAAAGGCATTAGGACAGCGTCATCAAGTCTGAAGCTCAAATTGCTTTTTAAATGAAACTATTAGCTAATGCAACCAACCCATTTCCATATGGCTAGGCTGCCTGGGATGTCTCAGGATGAAGTGTAACAGACATCAGCAATTAGGACACCTTTGGCACAACAAATACTATCTACAATTTATTTCAGAGTGCATTCTCTATGAAGAAACACACCAAATAAACAGTATGCTTACTTCAGCTTGCTTGCGCTCATTCATAACCTCAGTGGCTTTGTCTTCTAGCACAGTCAGCTCTTCTGTTAAGTCTTTAATTTCTTTCTCGTTATCTCCAAGTTCCTTCTCAGTGCGAAGAACAGCCTCTTCAGATTTTTTCATGTTTCTGAATGGATACCAAGATGTTTGTATACTTTACATGAGTGCAAACATGGCATAACATAATCCAGAAACACAATCATAGAAAGCTTGTTCGCTAGCTGTTCATAACCCAACACGTTACAAATAGTCTGTTTGAGGTCAGTCAGTTTAGAGAAAGAGTTTATGACCTCCTCCCCTCAGTTTTCCTCTAGCCATAAAGAAGTGAACACACCTCTCCTGAGGCCTGACAAATCTCCCCCATGAAGATAAAGATTTAACGGTAACCAGACATGACTTGTGGCTATACAAAATTGCTAGGCTTTAAAATTGAACACATTGATATCTACCATACCTTTGTGCGCTCTTGATTGCCACTTGGGCTTTAGTAATAGCTGAAGTATGTTCATCTATTTCTTTGTTGATCTCATCAAGTTTGTCTTGGTGTACTTTAAGTTTTTGATTACTGGTATCAATTATGAGCTTATGTAATCTTTTAACTTCACTTTCCATTTTACCAGCTTTTTCAGCAACATGCTCATAATCTGTCACAAACAAAATGGGGTTAATGTCTTTATGCTGTCTCACCAGGCTATTGCAATACATCAACGTTCATGCGACACAAAGCTCTGCTGTGTTAATATTTTCAGAAACGTACATGTTTCTTTGTACTGCAAAAAAATATATATATTTTTTAATGGGGCAACAAAAAATACTACACCCATCCTTCTGACAACTGTTACACCACCAAAGCATTTTGGTGTAAAGCATCACTATAACGTTCATACGCTACTTAAATACATGTATAATACAGAAGCAGCAATATGTTCCAAGCTCATTCTTTGCATTCTTTGTTTTAAAATGCTCAAAGGGGCAAAACTGTAAGAACTAGTCACTACTGTTCAGTAACTGGTATGACCAATTCATGCTGAATAGTACGATAGCCTACTCCACCTTCAAGCTTTTGCTTACAACTCAACAAAACTATCCTGGTGAGTTAAACAGCTTTCAAAAATTAAGATACCTGGCACCGTGGTATTTTAAGGGGAAAACTAAATAAAAGAAAAGTCTCCCAGTAAGTTTGCTACAGATTTATAATTTTCTTCGGGGACAGAAGAAGAAAAGCAGAGAGCCTTCAAAGGCAGAGGGCGGTAACCTCTCCAGAGGACTGCACAGGTTTGTGACTTTCCATCATATGGCAGAAATATTCAAGAAGATATTTATAACCTCAAACAAAGCTGTAGCATTTGCTCCTCTATTAGCTATTTATTATTTGCTCCTTTAAATGGATCATAACTACATTTTTTATTTACAATCCCTCTCTCCACAACAAGTACCTTTTTTGTAACCATCAAGGATTTTTTCCAATTCCTTCTGTTTGTTTTTGTCCGGAGCAGTAGCAATTACGTTTGCTTCAAGTTCCTTAAGTTGGCCTTTTAGAAGAACCTCTTGTTCAGAATAATTCTACAGAAAACACAGCTGTGTTAGAACCCCATGCTTTAAAACAGATCTTTGATACTGACAAGGCCTGTATTAACTTGAGGCTGAGAAACTGTTCTCCTGCACATGCATGGAGAAGCCAGATTGTGCCTCAATAAGAAGCTTGTTCACCTGGATACTCGCTGTATACTTTTCTAAAGTATTTTTCATTTCCCGAACATTCCAGCGTAGTTTTGGTACATCTTCTTCAAGCTGCAATTTCTCTTCTTCACACTGTTCTGCTCTTTTGGAATCCTTCTGCAGTTGAGCTTCCATTCTGCCGATCTACACAAAAATGAGATGTGATCACTTGCCTTGTGTCACCACCACGAAACACAGCATGTTCTCATTCGTGTGCTAGACAGTCTTATAATATCTCAAACAGATTTAAAAGGACAAAGAGAAAATGCGTACAAACTGCCAAAACATAAGGAACTTTGAAGATATTCCACTTTTAATTAAGATTATGCACTAACCTCTTCTTCTGAAACATCAATTATAACCGCGGAGCCCATTCTGCCCTTTATTACTTTATTTCCACCACCAGTCATTGTTCCTAAAGTAATAAAGAGGAAAAGAAGTTAGCGTACTAATTTTGTATAGATATCTCCTATGAAGCACTGAATATCTTAGTATAAGTTTGCACTTAAATACCTGATTGCTCAATGACTTCCCCTTTCAATGTTACAACCCTCCACCTTTTATCTTTTTGGAAGGCTATTCTGGAAGCTTCTTCCAAGGTCTTAACTACTAGGGTATCACGTAACGCGAAGTAAAAAGCCACGCGAAAGATCTCGTCTTCTATTTTCACCAGATCAAACAACCGAGGAGCATTTTCAGGGGTTGGGATTTTTTTAAGATTTTTTTCCCACACAGCCATCTACATCAAAAAAAGTAAGCAAATGAGTGAGAGGATAAATCACGAAGTCATTTCATTTTTGTAAGGTACATTAAGGCTTTAAAGCAATTGTAATCATTTTCTAGTTAAGTGTAACAATACTTCTCAGAACGGTAATTAACTGTAAAGCTTCCTTCCTTAGGGATCTCTACTTACTTGCAGCATAATTAAAAACTCACTGATAATTTGTCCCTTTGCTAGCCATACTTGTTGCTTAAGTTTCATAGTTTACAGTTACCATATTACTAGGATTATTAAGTTTGCTAATTTAAGAAAAAAATGAATATAAAAATTACATATATATATAAAATACAGAAATAAATATAATAGACTAGAAGGACACACCAAATATTTGTTGTACACGTGTAGGTATCAAAAAAGCTTGGTAATTCTCTGCAATTAAACTTTATTGTTTGCTAGTACAATATTCTAAGGTACCAACATCCTTTTTTATATTCTACCTTTATGTGTATTAATACATAAGCAGTGTAATATATCAATATAAGTCATATTTATACATATGCATATTAATACATAATATATCTACAATATACAGTATTAACACTGTGCACCGTAGGGTAAATCAGCAACATCATTTCTTTTGCCAGAGTACCAATACTTACTTTGTCCAAGGCTATAAATGTGGCAACTCCAATTCCTGTTCTCTTTAAGAATTTTACACATTCCTCTGCAACATCGATTGTATCGACAACGATGTAGTCTAAGGCACTACAAGATGACGAAATAGCAACATCATACTTTTCATCGATAGCTCCCAAGTCTCCCTAATAATTGAGAGGTGGTAGGGGAGAAGCAGAAGTACTCTGATTAGCTTGGCATCAAAGTTTTGTCTTGGTATTGAGAGATAAGACCAAAACTTTACATAAAATGAAATGAGACGAAAACAAACTATAAAATTTTTTTTTTTCTTTGTCAAAGAACTTAAACCTTAGTTAAAATTTGCAAATTAATATCACACCTGACCTCTCCTCCACACTACTACGCTACTTTTATATTTCTCCTGTACTTGTTTCCATGCCAGAAGATAAATTCATATATTTAGAGCTTCAGAAGCGGTAGGTCTGGCAAAGCAATGTGGTAGCACATATTTGCGGTCTGTAGAAAAAGGTAAATTTTATATGCCAGTATTTTAGTGAGGCAGTCTGGCCTAACAAAATCATTTCATGTATTCTGTGCATGGTTCTACCATTGGTCAGCTAGGTCGGACGTGACATTTACCAAATGGATGGTTACCAACTAATTCTACCTTCTGTGGTACCAAAAGATAAAAACACCACTCCACTTCTCTGGTACAGGTGATCCTAATTATCACAGCCCAACACAGAAGCACAAGCGGGACCAAAGCACGGGGAGGTTACATGACTTTGTTAGTATACTTGGCTTGAACATAAGCTTTCTCATAGCCACTGCCTTTCCTTAGTCCCAAGTATAGTGAATTTCAATATTTTATTTTTAATTTATACCAAGCCCACAGGATTTGCAACTCTGTCCAAATTAATAAGAGAATTAAGGCATTCAACCTTTTCCTTATTTACACAAAAAATACTCTGTCACCACAAATTTTATGACTAAATTTGTAATGGCCTTTTAAAAATTACCAGTCTTCCGTGTATTCCACGAATATTTCCAGACTTCTTCTGCTGAAGCAGAGCCTCGAGCACTTTTCCTCGATTGCGACTTTGTGCTAAAGAACTTTTGGCTTCTTCTACTTTTTGACGCAGATTTAGAACAATATCCTTCACTTCTGTTTCATCTTTTCCCAGCTTCTCAAGCCTGTTTTGTTTCTAACAGTTAAAAGAAAGACATTATCTTAGCATCAGAAAACTTACTGTATTCAAGGACACTTAGATTCATGGTTGTGTAAGCAATGAAAGCAGCTATTGACAAGGAGAGGTAGCAAAACCAGAAGAATGGCTAATGGCTGGGATTTGATATATTTTGACATGGTACAACAGCTTATGAATTAATTGGGCTTAGAACAAGGTATCGGCATTTTTTTCTGTGGGGAATGACAGTGGAGTAAGAAGTAAAATTCAAATGGCTCCGAAACATAGCCATTTATTTACCTCACCATGTATAATTATTATATTTAAACCAAGTTCCTTGCTGAGATGCACAGAATTTAATTTCCCGTACTTAATATTAACATTTTCTTAATGCAAAATAGACTTGAAAGTAGAGATTTAACTTCAGTTGTTAACTAAGTATCTAAACGTATTTTTTAATGCTATTTTATTGGGGGAAGTTTTAAATGTATTTTCACCATGATAACTGCTAAAATAAACAGTAGGACTTTGGTTTGTGTATCACAGCACTGAATTATAACTCAAAGAAATGACCTATGAGAAAGTTAGGGCTCACCTCCTTTAATTCCTGTTCAGCTTTGGGTAATTTTGCAGATATGTCTTTGATAGCAGCTTTCCTTTCTTTAAGAGTTTCACAGACAGATGTCAGAGTCTCCTTTGCTTTATTTAAGTGAGACACAGCAGTGTTGTGACGGCTGAGATAGATATCAAGCTCTGACTGTGCTACGTCCATCTTTGAACGTGCTTCATTCACCGTTTTATTAAACTCCATAAGCTCCTTCTCTTTGGCCTGCAAAAATGAACGGTACAAGTCAAAAGAGACAACTGTGGAATTTATTATGCCAATTACACTATTATGAAAAAAAAAAAAAGATGAGAAAACAGGCATGTTCTTTTTAGTAGCAGAAAATAGATATGAAAACTGTTAGTTAAATAGAAGAACAAGTCTACCTGAATTTAATACCAAACTTGTGTAATACAGTAAGTATATGAAGTCAAAACAGTTCAAACCTCTTTTTCTTCCTGAATTCCTTTTGTTTCTTTCTTAAGGCTATTCATAACCTGCTTGAGTTTTTCTTCTTCTTCGATTTTTGCCTTTTCAAGAAGCTCTTTCTTGGATGTTGCATCGCTGATACTTTTTTCACTACTAGAGGATGCATTTTTCAGTTCTTCTACCTAAAGAAGGAAAAGATTTTTAACTTTCTCTCCCACTGAAACAAAACACTTTTGCCTTATCTTTAAACCTCGCCTTTCAATTTCTATGTGGAAGCCAAAGGAAGCGTGAGGCCCAATAGGCTGACTCTGCCTGGTATTTCTAACTGCTGATTGAAAAGGGAAAATGGCATCAGGACATGATGAAGAACCCCATATATATATGAAATGCATATCCTGTGGATTGCTCCAGTAATCAGCATGCATCTTGCAGTTATTGCTTCATCTTCAGCATGCTTGAGGCTTCTATATTCTCCGTCTAGTTACAAGTCATCTTATCTTCTTTTTGACAGCTGAGTAGGTTCAAAAGAAGATTCCTTAAAGGTACTGACAAGCTTCTCTCATCATTTCAGAGGCACGCTGGGCAAGAATATGGTTAAGAGAACCCAAAAACTTTTGAATTTAATCAGCCTGCATGGTGTGGCAGTACCACATTAATGAAGATCACATTATTTTTTTTAATATTAGATGCATCTTGGTTCTAGCGAGAGGCCTGGATTTTACTTGCAAGGTTTGTTCACTTCTAGAGCCAAGCTGTAGCCTCATGCATAAGAACAAAAGTATTTGAACATCAGTACAGCTTGATTCTTGTATACTTATTTTCAAAAGGCTTTGTTTTGATTCAGTTAGTGATTCAAGATCTAAATCAAATAGTAGCAGCCAACATGATAAAATATATCCATTAAGTTCATGTAATTAACTATGGAAAGAGAAGAAAAAAATGTTTTGTTTTGCAAACAAAAACCCCAGCTGCCAAATGACAGAAAATATCTGGCTGAAAAATTTTAAACAGTTTTAGGTTTTCTTTGCTGCATGAAGTAGAATTGGTGTCCTTTGTTTACCTTTACCCAGCTTCACAAAGATGTTCTTATCTACAGCAACCAATTACATTTCTTTAAGTAAAACAAGTTGTAGCTCACACTACCTTTTCTTTGTCCTTTTGAAGTTGCTTTTCCAATTTTTTAGTCTTGCTTTTAGCATGTTTTAATTTTTCCCTTACTTTAACATCCTGCAAGTCCAATTCAGTAAATTTTGTTTTATTTTCCTCCAGAAACGTTGTAATTTTTTTCAGTTTCCTAGAAAGGAAAGAAGAATTATCTACTCTGTATTTAAAAAAAAATGTAATTTCAGTAGAGCTTGGCTTGGTGAACACACAGGATTTAAAACAATACTAGTCAGTTTTTGCAAAAAACAGTATCTAACGTTTACTATGTTCACAGTGTTTTCCCCAGGTAAATTTTAATTAATCAGCAAAGATCAACTAGTAAAAGCCATACTAAACACATTTTCAGAAACTTTATCTTTTTCTACAATAATATTTGTGATTCACATCTCTCTCAAATTACAATGGTCTCAGAGGATGGGAAGGTTCATACTGTAGTCAGATTGAAGAAAAGTACCCAGATAAATCAATTGTACAGAAATTCAATTCAAATATAAGAGTTTCATATGGAAATCAGAGAAAAATACCTACCATTCATGTACCTAAGCATTATAGATATGTATATAAAAACCTGAAACAAAATTCCAATTATTTTTCTGTACAGTTAGCATCAAAAAAGAAGTATGTACTTCTATGTCCATAAAAATCAGACATTTTCCTATTGTTAGCTGTGGATATTACACAGATTTCTCTAAGAGAAGCAACCTGTAGGACCAAATCAATCCAATTAAAATATTAAAGTTTATTTTGTGTAAAATATCGCTTGTTACATGCCAGAAGATCTTTATGTATACTATAAGTGACTCAATGGACCCACAAGGATCATTGAGTCCAACACTTGAGAAAATCTGATTTTTTCTGAAAATCCTGGTAATTCTAACTCCATATATATGCAGAACATATAAAACACAGTACTACTAGCTTATGAATCCATTCCTAAAATACTTACTTTTCGAGTTCTTTTAAAGCTTTATCCTTGGCTTTCTTTACATCTGCAAGTTTGCTGCTCTTCTCATTAATATCTTTTGTTTCTTCCTGTGTTTTTTCTTTCTGCTTTTCCAAATCATTTATTCGTTTCTGTAGGTCATAGCTAGAAAAAAAAAAGTATTACAAAACCATCATTTTTCAATAAAATCAACATTCTTAATGAATATATATTTCCAACAATCTGATGGATAATAAAATGATTGTCAAATATTATATCCTAATATCCATTAACTTTGCCAATTTAATTCCAAACAATTTTGACATTTCAGATAAAAATAATCTTTTAATGATCTTTCTCATTTTAAGTATAAAGCTGTAAAAGGTTAATCTGCCAAACTGGTGTTGTTTGTAAGAAGCTGGCAAGCAGGTTTTCTTTTGTTTTCAAGTTTTTAATGAGAGCGATCTATCATTATTTGAGAATGAACTTTGTCACTTGAAGCTAAAATCACTAGCCACATACCACTCAACTAACTTTGAATAGCTGATACGTCTGTCAAGAAAAACGAAACATTTCTTATTACAGATATGGACGCAGAGTTTAACACCACCACTACCACATTAAAGCCAGATCTAAACTTCAGAAAAGTACTTACATGTAGTATTGACAGATATGATTCTTTTCTTTAAACATTTTATTTTCCAAAGAAAGAAATTCAATGGCTTTATTCTTGTCCCCTTCTAAAGCATCCTTTTCTTTTTCCACCATTTTAATTCTATTTAACTAGAGAAAACAGACAGTTAAAGATGATTTTAATGCTAGGAGAAAGAAGAACAAACCGTGAGAAAAATAAGCTCTAGACCCTTTATAACACACAGATAACACCTCTGGAGAGATGCCGTCCCACAAGTAACTCTGCAAGTCTATTTATTACTGCAAACCTTCTGAAATAAGAGATCACTACATCCTGAGCAGAGACTGTATTTTAAGGGTAATTCAAACAGTAATTTAAAACTACAAAGGAATCCTGCAGATGCTAGGAACAGTTCAGGCAAACCAAGGAAGAGTAGGTAAGGAATAAAAAGGAGTTACACAGGAGTTACAGACAGTCTGTACCTATTTTCAGTACCCCCTTTCAAGTTAAATCCTGTGACTATGTCTTCTGTTTTATTTTACAGCTTAAAAGAAAAGTCTACAACATATTAGGATTTACCAAGGATAAATCAAGTGAAATAAAAACGAACTTTGATATTTTACTACTTTTAGAACTAAATGCATCAGTAGGATGCTATGAAAACAATTTCTGCAACAGATCTGTGCAGCTCAAGTCACAACTAATTTTCTGTAAGTTTCCTCATGCAGCTGGGTGTGCATCACAGCGGCAGTGCTATGTCTCCTTCCTACTTCTCCTATTTGCTATTTCATAACAGGACTAAGGCAGGGCTATGTCTGTATGTACTCAGCTAATGCCAATCTATTTGGCTATTCAGTCACTGAGCAGAAGCATTTAACACATGCAGATGTGATCAGAGATGCTCAGCAGGTAAAATCTTGTGTTCCAACTCATGCAAACCTTTGGGAATCAGAAGCCAACTGCTTTGTAAGTGTTTAAAGAAGGGCAACCGACATTGACTGCCCACTTTTATTAGCGACAGAAATATCAAGTGCAATAAAGTGTTAAGTTTCACAGTACTTCTACTGCTGTAAAGGGTGCCAAATCTTTAACCAGTAAGTCTTTATGTTAACTTCTTTAAAAGATCTAATAATGAAACACTGCAGGTTTATATCTTCAATTTATAATTCAAACCAAACTTTATGAGACTCACCTTTTCTCCTCTCTGTTCATTTAAAATCTCTACTCTGCGACACAGAGTTTGGATAGGTTCTATCAGTCGTGCAGACCCTATCAAGTCTTCCAAGTATTCGAGCATGCCTTCATCATGTTCGGTCTGGCCTTTCGGTTTCATCATTGCAATCTGTTCAACTTCCCCCTTGGAAAAGAAAAGTTTAATATTTTCTTAACTCTTTTTCCTGAGGGAAAGAGTTGGCATTCTGAAAACACACAAACACCTTTGGAACGCGTTTGTACGGCCGCATCCTAACATTATGAAAGAACAAAACAGTGCAGTAGTCAGAGGCGACTGATCACAGTCACAACACATGTGGGAAAGATCAAAATGAACAGATTTCCTCCAAGCAGTACATGATGATGCGCATGAAGAACAGCATCCCTTTTGAAGCCCACAGTCAGGTCTAAATTTTGCTTCATTGCTCTAAATATTCAAAATGTTTTCCCCCAACCTAAAAAAAGAAGAAGAGAATAAAGCATGCCCACTAGGTCATGTGGCACCAATAGTCGTTAATCAGGATTGAAGTCCCCAAAAGTTTCCTTTAGAAAACAGAAGGTCCACAAAATCGTGTCTCATAGATGAACTGGACCTGTAATTCATATAACTGAGACTTGATGGTTAGAAAAAAAAACACTTTAGGTATTAGACTTCATTTATTTCATTTTCCTGTATGTACAGCATTAGCTTTACATTATTAAGCTGAACAGTAACAGTAATTTGATTTTTACAAAGTAAGATTTAACAAAGATTAAACTGAGACAATGATGGTTTATTTTACTGATGTTAGCATTAGCTAATTAAAAAAAAATTCTGCTAGAAGCATTTTATGCTTAGGACAGAGCAGCATGAGATCTTCAAAGTACAGATTGTATTTTGTAAATTGCCTGTCATATATCAGAAGGTAAAGACATGAAATTGAATATACGTATATTAAAGTTATGTCTAAAGCAAGAATAAATGTGACAGAAGCTGCAAAAGTTAAATAAAGAAAAGACCAAGTACAAACTACTCACTCCTCAAAAACTTGGAGAGCTAAGCATACAAGAGACAACTTCTTTGTTAAACAGATACACAATATTGCAGGAGTTTCGGCCTTTGTGACACGTAATTAAACCCATGAAATAACAAGTTCTAATATGATTTTAATTTAGTTTTAGAACCGTTTAGATTTAAAAACAAGATTTATATCCTAGCATCCAATCTAGGTACGTAAAAAAAGCCTGTAAGTCAATATCCACAGACTGAAAACGCACTCGAGAATTTAGTTGTCACTGTTTGCTGCTTGAGCTGAAGCCAAGTCTCTGCAAAGTATGGATAAGGCCAAAATTCTCAAGAACACACAGAAGATGGAGTGATTAACAAGGCTGCTGGAAAACCAGAAGGGACTGTTTTGACAGAAGTTGACAGTGGCTAGGATTTCTAGGCCAGCATCGTGAACCAGCCCTGTAAGCAGCTCAGAGAGCTGAGGACAGGCTACTCCTGGACATTGACTAACGAATGCACTCGAATTTTCTCCCAAAGTAACTTTGTTCCACTTACTCAGTACACAATGACACCTAGTGGCCCTGTTTTTCTTCCAACCAGTAAATACCATTTGGCTGAGCACAAGGGAAAAAGTGAAGTTTTGCAAATTTAGCAAAATGGGAACTAGCAATTCCTTACACATAAGAAATTCCCATGTTAAACTAAAACAGAGAAGCCGAGGTGTTTTTTATTACTATTTTAAAATTTAAAATGAATAAATTAAAATTATTGCTATGTTAAAATTCTAGAATTTAAATGCACCTAAGCTATGATTTTTTGATACTTACTATTCATAAGAAGTGTGAATAGGTTTGTCAAGACATAAAAATCTCAATTTTTACTTCTTATTAAAAGAAGTATTAAAAAGGCAAACAATTAGTTTCCTGATAATTGCAGCTGCATTATGTACAACTCCAACTTCATTTGTTTCCTTGCAACATAAGTGTGATTTCTCTACCAAAACCACCTGTCAGTACCATGCTACTCGTGGGTAGGGCACTTACTGTAACCTAAATTCCTGCAGAATTGCCACATAAATCTCCATTTTATTTCTTCTTGCATTGTAATTGATTCCTCTGTTTACATCCAAGAAAAAACTATTACTGAACATCCATCTTCTATGTTGTACACCCTCAAGGTAGGTGCTGCAGTTTGACTTTGCACTTGCTTTCCTCTTCTGTTCCCCCTTCCTCTTTTTTTTAAACTGGGCACAAACCACAAAACTATTCTGGATTTAACACAAGCAGAGCAATTGTAATTTACTCTAAGTGGACAAGCAAGGAATGTAAAGCAACATTTTTTCATAACATGGTTTTTATTAAGTATAATTAACCCTCTTTAAATCATGACTATCTAAGAAAGATAACATAGTTGCGAGGGTTGAATATATAATTGAATACAGTACAATATATTTAATGATACAGCACATTAGTAATGAAGCTTAACCCTACCGTATCTGAGTTTATAATCTCATAAATTAAGAAATCAGAGGTTTGGTGGTCTACATGGTGAATAAATACATCACCACATAACGAGGAATACAACCTTACCTGTGAGTAAAGTTTAGGCAATCCATACAACAAAATTTTGAGAAGTTGAAGCGAATTGGGTACTGGTGAGGAGATGATAAACACAAACTGAACTTGTTGGGCCGAGTAGTGCCAATTCTATATGCAACTCCTTTGCCTTAAAAAAGGCAACAAGTTTAGAATCACATATTTTTCAGATCTTACTGTAAGAGATGCAGATAGTACTAGGTACTTACATTTTTTAATTCTTTTCTTATGAAAGGTAAAAGTGAAAACATTTAGACTACTTATATGATAACTGAGCCCTAAGACTATGAACTATTATTTAATATTTAAATTACTCACCAAGTTTTATGTTCAGAAATCAGTTTAGGCTACCCCTATAGTTAGCACGCTAAGAAATCAAAAGGTATTCAGTTATTAGCACTGATAAAGGAGACTGAAAAAGTTGTACCTGCTCTACTTGCAAGTGGTCATGACAATGAGGAACAGAAGAAACTGTTTTGCAGCTTTGCATCCTGTTAAAACTTGATACAGTCAATTTAACTGTTCTCTAATTTTTTAAACACTTGATCCACTATTATCTGCACTGTATCAAAAATATATCCTTGTTCATTTATCTAGTAGAAGATCTTTCAAAACACGGACAGCATTTCTGAAAGTGAAACTAAGAAGACAGCAGGCAGACATTTGTTGAAAAGAAGCACGCCCAAGCGTGTTTTCATAATGTAGCTGTCACACCTACGCTTGAGAAGTCTCAAAACTGACCACCAGGAAATCCCATTACCTATTTGCCTCAGCTACCTTCCTCTCACTTGCAGGCATGAATTCATGAGGGGAGAGGGAGCAAAGTGCAAAAAAAGAGAATCCTCTGTTTGAGAAGACAATCAAAATGGATGTTAACATTGAGAAATTGGTGACGCTGACAAACAGCTAACAGAGGACAAAACATCCCTTTTGTACGTGTATATATATGGAATATATAACAAAACATACATACACATGAAATACACATGTAGAAATATATATGAGAAGTATGAAAACCCACCAAATATCCAATTAACATTTTGAGAAGGCTGCACACTCAGTGCAAAATTTCTAAATGGAAATACAAACTACATTTCTCAGTTTTTGCACTGTGACAGACTGAAATTATTGGGATGCTGGCACATCACCAGTAACAGAAGTGGTGAACTCAGACACTGCCTAATAAACATAAAGAACAGTTTCCATAGAATGTCTCAGATTAGTTACCAGAAAACAATATTGGTGCATTTTGATGGAGAAAACAAGTCAATCAGTGTAGAAATTTCTGACAGCTGTGGCAAATAATCAGAAAGCTCATGTGACAGATGGCTACCAAATTTTTACATGTATATACTTCAAGGAATTTTGAAACAGAAGATTCTGCCTTCCTTTGCACAGCTGAACACTCAATGAGATGAATTATTACCCTGCTACGATGTTTAAGGTACTTTCTAAATGTAGATTTCTATTGTAACATTACAGAGAAAAAACTTCAAGGCAAGTAAATTGTTAAAGCCTTCAAAAACCAACGTAAGAGTTTCAAATTAACCATTTGAAACCAACGCCTCCAGTAAGGACACCGAGGGGGTCAGCACAGGGTGGAAAAACACCAGTAATACCCTAGACAGGAGAGCCTGGACCTGCTCTGCCTGTCGAGTTCAAGCCCATGAGGACACGGTGGGTGGGTACCCTTAGGGATGTCTGATGAACCTGAAGAGGTGCCAAAATCACCGTGAGCTATCACTACTTAGAGTTACCAGGCTGCCAAGTCAGGGGCCTGTCTATTTTGAGTTCTGTGCCTTTCAGTAGAAGTTAAGCTTGCGTCCTTTGAGTATTTGGGGAATGCTATACATTCAGTGTGATGTATCTAATATAGGCTGAATCCATTAATTTGCAGTTTTCACGTTGCATGCACTCTTTATGCATGTTAAGCTAAAATTCTCATTAGAGTAAGCACATCTCAGATAGCACAGGAAGCCTACCGAAGACGCCACTCCACTGCTGTATGCACCTTTCTAAAACCAATTTGTGCAGGGCAAGAATTTCACCTGCGACATAGCCCTCAAAAGGTGGGACAATAACATGCCTAAACTCTCCATTGCCTAATTTCTTAGAACTACTACCTCTGTTTTCTCTAAAATCATACATTCAGTTCTTAAAACAAGAGAAGAAAATGTTAAATCAGTTTACCCATGTGTTTATCCACGTAAAGATTTGAATTTTAAGCAAAGTCGAACTGCTCCAACCTACTCATTAAGCTGCCTTTCTGCAACCCTTACCACTAGCCTTGAAATCAGAGGTTACTTTTCACGTTTGCAGATAACCCCTAGCTTGTTGGTTTTGGCAGCCAGTAGCATCATGTTCCTGCAACCTCCCTTTAGACTGAGAGTAGGGTCTGTGAATTGAAACACCAATTCTAAAGCTAGTAAGTCTGACCAGTGGGTGTAACATACTCATCCTAATGCTGACATTATCCAGCTCCACGTGGTGATAAATTGAAGAGGTTGTTAATTTGTACTGTGTACGGACAGTAGCAGTTCCATCTGTCATAATGCTGGGATT